GCACGGTTAGCACACGCTTGAAAGAATAAAAGCAGTTGAAATAATACGAGGCGATTGTAAAGTTCTATTATGTGTAGTACAAATATCAATATATAGTTATCACACAAATCTTATATAAATTAGCGTGGTTTTCAAATTAAAAATACTTGAACGAAGATGAAGCACACAGAATTAACAAATTACTGTTTAGAATTAACAACTATATCACACACGTATGTAAGTTGGTATGCCTATATATATGTACATGCATGTAATACATACATATATATTCTGTTTGGGAAGGTAGACCACCTCGTTACGATTACGTTGACTTCACTTCACAACTGTTTCTGCCCGGGAGCTCGAACACTGCGTACGGCTGGCACCAAAGCTTAACGTCCAACTGACATACGGCGTCTAAAAAACTTGAAAGTTTGCCAGTTTGCCAGTGTTGCCGGTGGCTGGTCACAGTCTCTCTGGTGGGCTCTCTCTGTTGCTCTCTTTCTCTTGATTTTGTGGATGGCTCTCGTAATTTCGAAGTGTGTGCGTGTGGCTAACAGGCGGCGGAGGCAACAATAACAACAAAACGTGCACTTTGTCCCAAAAATAAAAGAAAAGCAAACAAATATTGTGTCATGTCTGTTATGAGACAGAGGCCGGGCTAAGAGAACAACTAGTTGAGTCCCAATTAAAAGTGTGCGATAGCGAGGGAGAGCAACAGCTGTTTACCGCAAAAGGTACATTTTTACATAAATGCATATTAACATATTTACATATGTGCATATATATAACATATGTACAATTTGTATAAATGAACGTTAATGTGAATATTTAAAACGAAGTTTAGTAATTTCCTCGTATTGCTTTCCCCATTTGCCAAATGTAAGATTTGTTAATTAAAAGTCGAACAAAGCCTTACAGAAATCAATGTACATATGTACTTTTGCTTTACCCCATACGAATTCGATTTTTATACCCTGATACAATTGAAATTGAGCGAAAAGGGTATAACAGATTTGTGCTAATGTATGTACATATATATTTTAATGCGTACAACTTTCCAATGGAAACGGAGTTTCCAATGGATCGTTAATTAATAAATTGCGTTGTGAGGGAGAGGGTGTGGGGGGAGGGTTTCTGAAAATGGCGTGAATTTAATTTATATATATATATAATCAGGCACAAAGTCGCATCGAGAAATGCTAACTAATATTGTGGAAGTGTAATACATTTATTATCGTTACAATTGTTGTTCAATTTTTTGAATCATTTCCACAACCATAAAGGCGATAAGAAAACCAGTCTCCAAATGTGAATTTTGTGTTAACAGACCTCGTAGTCTCAGATCGACAAATACATATATATATATTTATATAGAAAGACAGGCACCCAGACTTATAGACGGACTGATAGATAAGAACACATCGCCAGACTGACTTGGCTGCTTTATAAAGAAACAGACGAACATAGCTAGATTATGCCAGCTTATCATGCTGATCGAGAATACACGCTTGTACTCTACACACATTTGTATACCCTGTATTTTATTGGGCACAAAAAGTTTGCAGAGAATTTATGAGCTTAACTATTATGACTATTACAACAACTCGGCGCTGGATATAAGGTATCTCCTAGTCGGGTAGTCTCGACTGTCTTTAATAATTCCAGAGCATAGAATATGTATAGATGTTATAATAATAATAATATAATTAAAATGAATACTTAAATAACTTTCGACAAAAAATTGAGTTAGTAATGTGGGGAAAACTGTTATGTGTGGCAACTCTGAGTTGTGTGCTGGGTATTTCTTAGTCGAGCCCCTTGGCTTGATTCGTAGTTGCCGTTAATCAACAACATTCCGCTAGTCCGCTAGTCGCGCCTTCTTTAATCTCTTCTCTATAGTTATATATGTGCTATGAGTACTTTTTTATACCGTTGGCTATAAATAATGAAGAGAAAAACTTTCCCACATCCCCAAATAGCAGCGCTTTGGCCTAATGAGAAGCCACTGATAACCAAGCTGATAACAGAGGCCGATGTCATTGCCGGCTCCGGCGAAGGTCGGCGAAAGTGCGCTCGGGGCAAGTGCACGAATCAGGTTTCGGTATCATCGGCAATGTCCAAATATGTCATACGATTTTATATGGCCCCAGACAAGTTGTTAAACAACAATTTGCCATAACACACGGAGCCGGTCGACGCACGCGCAAAATCACAAATCTCGCAGAGAGTATTTTTTTTTTGGCTCCTAGTCTTGACTTTTTAGCTCACCTACCTCACGGTATTTATTAGCCTAAGGGAATTAAATATAATTTTGAATTTATAAATTATAATTAATTACAATTTGAGTGCATCAATTATAATTCTTAATACTAATTTTCGCGGTATTTTGAGGGAAATTCCCTTAAGGGAAATTCCCTTAAGGGTAATTCCCTTAAGGAATTTATATATATATATACTCTTAAAACAAAACTCTTTAGTTTAAAGAAGTGTATCTTTACCTTTTTTTTACCCTGAACCCATTGAATATGGGTAAACAGGGTATATTGTATTTGGTCAAATGTATGTAACAGGCAGAAGGAAGCATCTCCGACCTCATAAAGCAAATATATTCTTGATCAGCATCATTAGCCGAGTCCGTCTGTCCGTCCGTCTGTCTGTCCGTCCGTCCGTCTGTATGAACGCAAGGATCTCAGATCCTATAAGAGCTAGAGACTTGAAATTTTAGCTGTAGGTCCTCCTAGTCCCCGCGCAGATCGAAGTTGTTTCCGATATTCGATAACTTGCCCCGGTTCCAAGTAATCGATAAAGATCGATATCGAAATCCTGTTTTTTGAGCAATTTTGGTAAATAATAAGAGCTAGAGTCACCAAACTTGACATGTAGCTTCTAGAATAGTATTTATATATCAAGTATCTTTCAAGTATCGCCTGTTGGAAGAAGAGGTTGCAGGGTATCCCCTAGTCGGGAGCTCCCGACTTGTTTTAATTTATTATTTTTTGGGCAGCTGCCTCCTCACCTGAGGTTGACTTCGCACGGCACGTGCCGTTAATCGAGCGGAACGTTCGTTCCACTAGACGCGCATTTACAAAAGATAATGTTTCAGTTTAATTCACAGTTCTTATCTAAACTAGCCTTTAACTTATCTACCTTCTGGCGTACTGGCTTACATATTGTGTGCTCACATTTTTTTTTTTGTACTTGTTATCATCTAAAGTTTGTGATTTATGGAAATATTCCTACCTCAATCTTTTCTAAGACTCTGTATAAAATAATTAAATATTTGCGTGGTAGACCGTGGGTCAAGTTTTATCAGAACACCTTGAGAGAATTGAGTTTTTTGACAATCAAAACTATACGAATAGTCAAATAATAAAAAAAAGTTAACTATTTTAAGCCGAGATATTCAAAAGAAATCATTAAAAAAGTTTTGATTTTCGAACCGATCAAAATTAAGTATTTCATTTTTTAATGCCAATCGATAGTACTAATCCTTACGAGTCCAAAATTGTATATCATTCCAAAATCTGACATTATCAATCAAAAGTGATGTTATACAACAATTTTATTTCCGACCAATTTTCTACTAATTATACTTTAAACATAGGAAAACTTCCAAAAACTAGTCTTCTAATACTTTAAACTAATTTATGCATGTATTTACCAGATAACTGTATTAGTTAGTAAAAAAACAATCTCAAAAAAAACGAGCTGTTTTTTGTACTCAGTGTTAAGTGGATAAAATTAAAAATATATCGGACATCTGCGCTATGTCTATATTTATACTTCGGCAGCACGAAAACAGTTTTTTTTTATACCCTGTCCCATTGAAAATAGCTAAAACGGGTAAAATGGTTTTGTGCTAATGTATGTAACAGCCAGAAGGAGGCGTGTCCGACCCGATAAATAGATATATATAGTTGTGATGTGCGATACGACACGGTCCGTTTGCAAGGATTGGAGCTGAAGACTTTAAATATTTATTTTCCCATATTATATTATTATTATTATATATTTTTTGCTTCTATTCATGCAGGGTACTTCATAGTTGAGCATAACCGACTTCAGCGCTCTTGTGTCTGAGCTGAATTATCTTCTAATCGAGTATTTTAGACTAGAACACTTTTAATATTTTTTATTTGTTACCAATTTCTTATTATTATCAATAGCTCTTATCGGAGAAAAAGGCCCATATATTTATTATTATATGTTTATTATTATTATTGTTATTATTAAGATTAACTATAATACATTATTAAATTTGACTGGTTGCATTCTTTTATAAAGTTCTGTTATTATATATATTATTATTATTATTATTATTATTATTATTATTATTATTATTATTATTATTATTATTATTATTAATATTATTATTAATATTAATATTAATAATAATAATAATAATATTAATATTAATATTATTATTAATATTGACATTAATATTATTATTATTATTATTAATATTTTTATTAATATTATTATTATTATTGCTATTATTATTATCATTATCATTATCATTATCATTATTATTATCATTATCATTATCATTATCATTATCATTATCATTATCATTATCATTATCATTATTATTATCATTATCATTATCATTATCATTATCATTATCATTATCATTATTATTATCATTATCATTATCATTATCATTATCATTATCATTATCATTATCATTATCATTATCATTATTATTATCATTATCATTATCATTATCAATATCATTATCATTATCATTATCATTATCATTATCATTATTATCATTATCATTATCATTATCATTATCATTATCATTACCATTATCATTATCATTATCATTATCATTATCATTATCATTATCATTATCATTATCATTATCATTATCATTATTATTATCATTATTATTATTATTACTAATATTATAATTATTATTATTATTATTATTATTATTATTATATTATTATTATTATATATATTATTAATAATATTATTATTATTATTATTATTATTATTATTTTTATTATGTTAAGTATTTACAATATGGGTTCCTCCTTGAGCACGACGGGCTCACCATCCAGTTTTCGTATAGTCGGTAGGCGCTTGATGCACTCGGCCCTCCACGTGAGCTCATCCAAGCCCTCCGACAGAGGATTGCCGACTACCACTAAATCTTCCAGGGACTCGATTTCGGCCAGCCGACTAAACTCTGACCAGTCCTTGATTAGATTGTTGCTTATGTAGAGCACTTTCAGGCACTTCAGCGCAGACATGCCTTTGAGTTTCTCTATCAGGTTGTAGCTGAGCCAAAGTTCTTCCAGAGTTTCTGCCACAGCTTCCTGGTTATTAACCCAGATAATATCAGATCAAATATATAATTTTTAACAAACCTACCAATCCTGATATTTGCTTGATATAATTGCGCGACAATGACAAGACCTTCAGACATTTCATGCCCGACAGGCCAAAGATTTTCTCAATCATATTTGTGGACATACTAATTCTTCTGAAATTACCAAGCGAAGGGATCACAAGTTTATTATTTTAATTTTTATTATTTAAAGCATGATATTACTCGCAGTTAACAAGCGTTCCGAGTGTATTGTCCATTTTCTCGATCGGTGGCCATTGAAACTGCAAATCGATATTTTTGGCATTTAGCGAATTTTGCTGTTCGCGCTCTTCCCAGCGTTTCAATGCTTCCTTGATTGTTGTTGCCTTCGACATCTTATAAATTCGACTAAATTTTTGCTTCTACCAAATAGCTAAACCATCCTCGAGCAAACAAATTTGTGTTGCCAACAGCAACTACCAAAATTATTGACTATCCGCAGCCATTTTCCCTTCTTCCAGTAATTATTATTATAAAACTAAATACTATTTAATTTGAAAATAAGAAAAACAAAAAAACAAAAGCTGCATTTCTATCTATATATATATATCTTTTGTAGTATTCAGATTTGATAGGGTCTTGTAGAGATATTAAAAAATAATAAAGCGTAAAATGTTCTCCATACAGAAACTTTTATTTTGACCGACTCAGACTACAGAGAACTATATCATGATGTGGTTTAATGTTGATAACACGTATATTAAAACGAATAAATGGCAAGTTTGGTCAAGATATCTTCATCTAGGATAACCCAATATAAAAAGTGTTTCGAGGATTGGATCAAGCGCTGTCGATAGGGATTACTTTCAAGGGGGCAATATAGATTTAGATGAATAAACTTGTACTCTTAATTTTCTATATAAATTCCGGAAACTTTTTGATCAATGTGGTATGTACTGTCTGCACCAAATAGAAGAACTTTTGTTAAGTTTGTTTAAATTAAACTGATGGACTGTTGATGCTGATCTAAAAAGTATATACTCTATAGGATCGAGTACAGCTCCTTCTATGTGTTATACGTGTAATTGACTTCTGCATAAATAATTCAAATTTGCATTAACAATTCTAGCTTGCACGAATAATAATACAAAACATTTAACTACTGAATACCCAAAAGTCACCATCTAATAACCTAACTAGATTAAACTAATCGACCACACAAAGAATGCTTTGTAATGCAATAAAAAATAATTCGGGTAAACCCGAAATCGGCTTAAGATAAGCGCCTTAAGATCGCTCAGAAGTGTTTTTTTGATTTAAAAAGCGATAAACCTAACTAAAAGCATACTTTTTTAGAAATTTATAAGCTAACGACTATCCTAGATACCCTACTCGAGTTCTGAGTCGACGAAGGATGCATTCATTCATATTTATATATATATATATATATATATTCCTATGCAGTGTCTACAGCTAAGTCTAAGAAACGTATACTAAAATCAAAACAAGTATATTTTGAATAACTGATGAATTTTGCGGTTTCTTTGAAATCGATAAATATCGATTTTCACAGCAAGTTCTTTAAACAAATCTCTATCTTTGGGAGCACCAAATTTGTAGATTCTTGTACAACTAATATAAATCAACAATATTTCAACTATTTATTTTCTATTTACTATATGTATGCTCTTATTCACGAATATAATGTTTACGATCGAAGCAAAACAATTTTATGTACGAGAAAATCGATATTTTTCTATCAATAAAGCCTTTTTTCAAGCTGTTATTCGGCTGTGAACGAGGATTACGCAATCGATTGCACCTGTCTGCAAGATTCTTACCTGTTTATACAGTGAACCCATTGAAAATGTTTGCGATATATGTCCGACTTCAAAAAGCATATATATTCTTGGTCAGCATCAATAGCTGAGCCGATCTAGCCTTATCCGTCTGTTCATCCGTTTGCCAATATTTAAAGCTAGAGACTTGAAATTTTGAACGTAGTTCCTCGTGCTGCTCGAGTTTCTTTCAAACTTGCCCGATCCCAAGCAAGCGATCGAATTTCATATCAAATTTGTACCTTATCGTAAAGTATATACAGATCAAGTACAGGTTGCTTTTGGGACAATGAGAAGATTCAGGGTATTTGCTAGTCGGGCACTCCCCGCAAAACTTGTTGCTTATACACATTTGAGTTCCAAAATGTGGAACAAATTCCAAAAGTTTGCGATTGAAGAAAGAGGCATAAAAGTGGGCAAGAAACTGAACAAGGCCGCCAAAAAGGGCAATGAGCTTGGCTTGGAACTGGTTACCGAGAAAAAAAAAGCAATTTACCAAAATCTCTATATAAACGTACTGTATAGGCAACTTTACCCTGTACACAAGTCAGTATTCCGTACTTTCACATGTTTCCATAATAATTAACTGGACAAGCAGCGAATTTAAATAATTAAAAATTTTAAATTTTACCCAATTAAATTCAATGTAAATCCAAATTTCTGTTGGGGTTGTTTGGGGTTGGAATTTCCAAAAATGAAATACGTATTCTTTAACTTCTTATCTAGGGCTTCGAAAATATGTTAAAACCTGATCGGACGAAAGCTTTCCCCAAAAAATCGTTGACCAGCTTTTTGCTAAAGATCGTTGCAAATGAGCTCCAGTCAGTCAGGATAATACGATTTTTATATGGAAATTAATTGACTTTCTGCATAAAATAATTACTTTAAATGATTTTCAATGAATTGAAATTTTATCGACTGTTATACCTGCCAATCGTATTAGAACGCAGCTTAAATGCAAATAAATTAAATTTGATTTTGTGGAATAGATAACATATTAAAAATGCCCTTATACACATAGATTTCGGACTCAACAGAAATACTCGGTTTTTCTAACTGATTTTCCCTGAAACTGATTAAATTTGATTTATATTTCGTCGATCAGCAGAAAAAGTAAGGAAAGGTCACACTAAGAGATTTAACGAATCAGCTCCGATGCTGATGTCGTTTTGCTTGCCTGTGTGACCGTTCTCTACGAAGAAAATGATCCGGCACACTTGAGTTTGTATGCATTCTGTTGTGATCTCGATATGGAGTACGTCATAAGTTTCGTTCACTTCATGTTTTAACAGAAAATAAACCAACATGGTTGGTTTGCAAAGGAAAAATTTCTATAGCATAGCTATATTCAAATTTCAGCTTAAACAAACATATTAAAAACTACTTTTGCAAAAACTATTAGTAAAAAGTTTAGAAATATAGTTTTAACATTTCCTTTCGTTAGTTTAGGCTTTCGATCCATTTTTTTACTTGTGTGGTAATCAGCTGTTCAAACAGTCTGTAAATTGCTTGAAAAATGTAAATCAAATAAGTGCGCAAAAAGCGTTGTTTCGTTCACTGATTTTGGTTTGATTTACCGCCATCCAAATCAGCTTCAGGAATACCATTATTATCGATATTTATAAAAAAACATAATGAATATTATCACTAACCATACAATGCATAATCGAATTACGATAAATCGCAACGAGTGAGCCCCATTGGTGCCCGCGATCATTTTAGTGTGCCCAGATAGACTAAGACTGCTGAGAGTGGCAGCCGAACGCCGGCCTCGAAAGCCGAATGTTCAGTATTAAGCCGCATCTCGCTCAGAGCACGACGTCGCTGAGGCTGGTTCTTTTTCTTAATATATATATGTATGTTAGTTTTAAATCCTTACAGCCCAAATACACATGTGTGTATGCATGTGCAGAGCTTGCCTCGCTCTCAGTCGTTGCTTTGCGCGCTTGTGTGCATCTCTTTCTCCCTGCATAGCTTCCCAAAAATCCCCGATATCTACAATCACACATATGTTTGTGTAGATCAAAGTGATCAAAGTGCAAGCGAGCGACAAGTGCGGTTCACCTGCAGGAAGAAAGAGATGCACACAAGCGCGAAAAGCAATGAGTGAGAGCGAACCAAAATTTGCACATGCATACACACATATGTGTTTGGGATGTAAGGATTTAAAACTATCACACATATATTAAGATAAAGCATCAGCCGCAGCGACGTCATGCGCTTACCGCGATGCGGCTTAATACTGAACGTTCGGCTTTCTAGGCCGGCGTTCTCGGCTTTCTAGGCCGGCATTCGGCTTTCTAGGCCGGCGTTCGGCTGCCACTCTAAGCAGTCTTAGTCTATCTGGGGACATAAAATGGTCGCAGGCACCCATGCTGTGTGACATGTCTATGCGTTGCATGGTTAGTGATTGGTTAGTGATATTATCGAGTCGATCGATATAAGTTCGTTCGCAGCCCAATCTGGCCGACGTAGAAGATTTATTTATTATAATCGTTTTCATTGGAATTGCAACGTATGATGTCTACGTCAATTTTTGCTAATGTGCCGAAAGGACCGGCAATTGAAGTCTTTGCCTTAACAAGAGCTTTTCAGGATGACGCATCCACGAAAAAGGTCGACTTGTCTGTGGGTGGTATGTATGAAAAAGTATTTGTAAACCATTAAATCATTTTTAATATGTACGTTATCATATCATATTTATATAATTTCGTCTGCCTAAGGTTTCTTTTTAATTTATAAATACATATGTAGAACTATGCATATGTTAATGTTTAACTGGCTACATGTGTGTGTGTTTTTGTAAAGATTCTGCAATCATATTAAATTTCGCACCTGTCACCGTAACATTAAATTTCGTGTTCTGCAACAAATAAATATGTGTAAACGTACATATGTATATACATACATACATATATAGATGTGAGCCATAGATTAATAAATATACAGAGGAGGCTTTTGGATCAAAAGCTCTTTTTCAAAATACTTGGTGCAAGATACCAAGGTTGCAAACACAAATTGCAAACACAACAACCGGTTGACTACAGCTGCTTCTGCCGTTGCAGTCCCAAAGTGATGTCTTCTTCTTCTCCACTCGCTTTCAACTTGCAAGCAGCCAGGCAGATTTTTATCAATTTTCATTTTTCGACCAGCAAGGCACCCTTTCTGAAAATAGGGTATTTTGACTATTGATCAGTGCTGGAAACCTTCTTATATACAAATCAATAATAATTGTTTTCTTCAAACATTAAATACCATTTCAAAAAAGAAGGGTATCAAAGCCTCGACGCGCCAAATAGTTGTTGGTATGTGTGTCTCAACTCACACATTTTGGTGCAAATCTGCATGTATGTGTGTCTGCCATGCCAAGGTAAGTACATATTTAAATTTAAGAAGATTGCAACATTCAGTTGCGCATGTGACGTCACAGCTTAAGGCTTTTTGTGTGCGATCGTTGCGTACAATAAATGAATACATTTTTAAATAAATTCATTATTAATAAATTACTTAAATGTACGTTATCAAGGTAGAAATATATATGTATGTACTAATCATCATAAGAAATAAAATTCTATGAAATGTGACGTCACAATTTTAGATGTTAACGCGCCTGGTGGCATTCGAATTTTCTACCCACTTTTTTTTATTTTTTGAATTTGATTCTGATTTGTTGTAGCTTAATGAGCTTTATTTTTGTGTT